GGTTGTGATCAGTATTTATCGCTATTTAATTAAATACAAATGTGAGACCACTTACGACTCCCAGGGATGGAAAGGTATTCGCATTTCATACCTAATAGTAATCATAAGCACAGGCATAGCATCGGCTCTTTTCGCCTCAATAGTCGTGTCCAACAAAACCATTGAAGAAAACAAAGCCTTCAGAAATAGCAGTCAAATCAGTGAAGTTATCTATTGGTCGGCAGCCCTGGGCATCGGTATCGCAGTGTTGCTCCTCTTCCTACTACCGATGCTCTCAGTGTTTGCCAATTGTTTCGGTTTTTTCAGTCGACCGCTACCTCCAGATATAGGTCTCACTCATTGGTTATTAAGACAATTGAATTGCAGTTTAAACTAATATATGGTTTACTTTCAGACGATTTGCTGGACAACAGCAATGTCTCGAGAAAGTCGTCCTCCAAAGTGTCAAAGAAGTCAAAGTCAAATACAAGTCCCAAGAGTGCCATCAAAGTACCGACACCTGACAAACCACAGGAAGTGGATGACGACGGATCCAATTATTTCTCACAACTTGTGGCCAAAGGGCATAAAGTGAAGTCCATTTCCCAATACAAGGGCACCAACACATCCAGAGAGTCCAATAAGAGTCAAACCAATGCCACCTCCAGTTCCTCTTATAAGCACAAGAAGTAGCGGTCAAATAGACTCCAACCCCTGATTATAAGACCACAAACCAATATTTCACACATTTTGGTCTCATTCCATACATTTGATGACAATATTTCTAATTCAATAAAATCTTAATTCTCTACTTTCACATAAACAAAAATATTATTTCTAAATACTCGCAAACAAATCACTATTTATTTAACTTTCGTTAAGATTTCATATTATCGATGAACTACTAAAACATGTAAATACCTAAAAGTTAGTGATTATTAGTAATAAGTATTTTATACATAAATGAAATAAGAAAACAAATAATTAGTTTAAAAAGTTTATTGAATTTAGATTTGAAGCGAAAAGTAAAGAATTTTGAGTGAAATATGAATTGAAACCAAATTCTGTGCCAAATTTGTGTCACGTATTCGTCAGTCAATGACAGAGAAGTGGTCTAGCCGATGCTATGCCTGTGCTTATGATTACTATTAGGTATGAAATGCGAATACCTTTCCATCCCTGGGAGTCGTAAGTGGTCTCACATTTGTATTTAATTAAATAGCGATAAATACTGATCACAACCACCAATACGAGCGCCGATAGCATACAGGCTACCAGTGCTGTGTAGAGGGCTGTCTGAAAGCTGTTGTATTTCTCGCAAATGGTTTGACCGCAGATGACAACCATTGAGCACAAGACTGCCATCACATTGATTGTCATGAATACGAAAACAATGTATTCATAGGACGAGAGCAGACGCGACGGAAAGGCTGACGACTCGACAGATCTTTGCTTAAGAGCTGTGATTATAAAGCTCTGACTCTTGAGAGCGCCGGCTGTCCCTAATTTGGTGATCTCGAGGCCCACGTGAGCCCTGTTGGTCGACAGGGAGTCTATCCCCTGGATCTCGACGTTGAAAACTTTGATCACTCCGGGAGTGTTGAGATTGAGTACAATGGTGTCCATCATCTCCAGTGAGGTCCGAGTGTGGAGAATGAAATGAATGACACTTTTGTTGGGAGTCATGGCATCGAAGGGACAGTATGTCATCAAATCATTGCCATCCAATTCAATGTTAACCAATTGGAGGCCACTATAAGACTGTAGTATAAGATTAAGTCTGTAGTCCACGAACTGATTCTCTCTGATGGGAGTGTCGATGACTATGCGGACAATGTGTCTGTGAGTGGCATCCACTGTATCGCAGAGATAGTACTTATCAAACCAGATGTCCATCGATTTGGAGCCAAAGAAATAGATCGATATAATAGTGTCACGAATATTATCAATACAGCGGTCATTATAATGGCAGACAAATAGTCTAATAACCAGTTCATGGCAGTAGAAACAAGACAATTATCTAATTGAGTGAAAATGACAACTATTTATAAGTTTTGTAACTTAAACTCAATTCACAATAAACGGCTCATTCCTAACCCCCTATTGTTTTACAGAATAGAGAAATCTCGAGATTTATTAGAATTGAAATTCTGTAAAATTCTGAGTTCAAGAAAAGTCCGTTAACTCTAACGTTAAACACAGAATTTGTATATAATTTGTATATATTTCTCGTGTAATATTGAATTGATTTGAATGAGTAAATGAAATACTATTTAAATCATTTGAATTCAAATCACTAGTCATTCAACAGTTATCGCCAGAAGTAATCGTTCAAAAACTGAGACCAAAGCTCAAAGAGATTTCAGAAACAGATTCAGAAAGAGTGGAACGAATGGAGATAATGAAGACAATCACTGAAGAGAATACTCCGGAAGTGAGTGACGGTGACCACGAAAGCCAAGAGCAGCGGAAAGTGTCTGCAAGTGTTGAGACCATCAGAAAGCGATTCCACGAATCGAGTCAACACTTGGATCAGAGACTCAAAGACATTGTGGAGGAAGTGGTGGACCAGGCGTTCACCAAAAGCCAGGCCTTTGATGTCGTGTCGTCTCTGATCGAGGAGGGGATGGATAGGCGTCGGGGCCCGACCTGGCATTGTGTCGTCGGTCAGACATTTGGCGCCACATATTCGCCAACGAAAGACACAAACATTCGTTACATTTACGGCTCCGTCACTGTTATCATCTTCAGGGCTGCCATAAAGTTGAGGAGAGGTTTCCCCAAAAGGTTGCCATCAGTCGGAGCACAGGCTGTGCGAAGATATTCGTTATAGAGTTTATTCTTCTTCTCTTTGAGTTTCCTTTCAATTCTGTATTTCTTTGATTTTTGTCTTTAAATAAAACTGTTTATTACTTAACATTTAATTTGTGCACAAATTCTTAGTTCACTATAATTTAGGAAATAAAAAGATATTTTTAAAAATTCTGCACTTATTCTCACTATTAAAACATCGATTAAACATTTCATGGCATATACAACACTATTAGATATTCTTATGTAATTGTAATTATATAAAATTGTCAATAAATAACTTTTTAAACTTATTTATACCGTAAAACTAAATTTTTATTTTAACAAAAAACTTTAAGTAATTCCAGACATGGATAAACATTGTATGAATATATAATATAATATCTATTATTACAGTAATTAACTAAATATTAGAATTATTATAAATCACAGACTATTTAAGCCATCATTCAATGGGAATATGATTTAAGTCCACTTTATGTGTATTTAAGACCGAATCAGACAGAGTTCGTCGTCTTTGCAAACTATTTCTGTTTTCGACGATATATTTCTCGATTTGTGTGTCAAATGTGGACTTTGTTTTGTCCCAACTGTGTCTCAAAGTCTTGTTCAATTCATACCAAAGTATATATTGAGTCTTTAGTTGGCTATCAGTTTTGTGTGAATTCAAAATATAAAGCTTTTTGAGTTCACTTTCTTTGATTGGTTTCCAGCGCTCTCTGATCTCATCAATCGGTATATTAATTACTCTTTTGTTGGGAATTCTAGTTCTCAATCGTTTGAATTGTGGCCTATTCTTAGCCCTATCTGTTGGCTCCAAATCTTTGACAGATTTTAGACACTCTTTTCTGTAACTTTGTTTGGCTGAGGAGTACTTCACTTTATCTCTTCTTAAGTTTGAAGTATTTGTCGATTTCACAGATTTTGAGCTAAAATTTCTCGACAAACTATTTTCAGATCTTAATGATCCAAATGTTGACTTTGCTTCGGATACCGATATGCGGTCAGTTTGACTATCACTTGATTTGGTGCTTATTTTACTTTTAGTTTTTTCGACATTTGATTGTTTAAAGAAATCCATTCCGTTCTGCAAATCTTGTATTTCATCAACAGATAAGTCTTCACTTTCTTCCAAATTTTTAACTTCTTTTTGAGTCAACTGTTGATGAATTTCATTCAAACAATCATTTATAATATTTTCACTGATATCTTGACTAATGGTTTGACTAATTTTCCTGTTTCTACTCAATTCAATGCTGTGTTCTATCAGCTCATTCTGCTCTACACTTCTGTTCTGTAAATCTCGGAAAATATCATCACTTTTTAGATGTTTCTCAATGTCCCCGATGTCTACAATATCTCCAATGCATTGGTCAGTTTGGTCTGCATTCACATCCGAATGTTGATTGCTTTCACAGCTATCATTGTGTAGTGTAAGCCCTAAACCCGTACTGTCAAACTTTATCAAATCACTGTCTGATTTATAAACAAAATGTATTTCTCTATCATTACCGGAATCTATTTCATTACTGGTCTCATGTCTATGCTTATCGTTTGTCTCTGAAATAGCAATAGTTTCCATAATTTCCGTGTCATGTGTACCACTTTCACCGCTCTCTGTATGTAATGTGTTCGCAATGATTGCATTTTGCGATAATTGTTGTTTGCTTTCAATGTTGCGATCTTTATCAGGCGATTGTGTATCATTGGTGTCCTTATTTTGTTGATTTATATCGAGTCCAGCAGTGTTTTGCATCATTTCAGGGTTACTCTGAGTTATGCTCTCATTTGAATTTCTAATTAACTGAATGTTTTCATGACTCATTGACTATAAGTAAAACAATTAATAATTAAAACTATTATTTATATGCGTTTAAGAATACCCTGTTTAGTAATGCAACCTTTCCCTGATTGGAAGTCGAAAGTTTGCGCAATTGGTCTACAAATGTCATAAAAATGTTATAATTTAGTATCATGATCATTTAATAAATTATAATGTCAAATGTCTCAAATGATATGTTTGGCAATAAAAACTAATGACAAAAATTAATAGCAATTATAAATATGTTTATGAGACATACCGTAGAGATAATATTCATAGTTTTTATAGGTGTAGGAGCCGCTGAAATCACTCATTCCGGGCGCCTTCACGTCTTTCCTGAACTTATCGATGAGTCTCTTAACCATTAATATCTCATTAGATCTGCCGCTTCTAATCTGGAATCGCTTCAAATCGTGCAACTCTTCAAACAGTTTGCGCTCCAATTGGTATCTGAAATGCATATGAATTACATTTCATTGATTTGCAAATGAGTTAATTAATGAATATTTATGTTTTGTTTGTTTCCTGTGACTTACTTTCGCAAACTTTTCTCCACTGTTTGTGTTATGATATTTGGATCAATCGATTTATAGCCATCAGAACTGGGTCTCTCTCGTCGCACCCTGAGCACTCTATGCTGTCTCACAGTATTGTCCGGATATCGGTTATCACGTCTCGAGTCAACTCTGGACCCGATGTGACCCGTCTCTATTTTGCCCACATTTGCCGGTATTGTCTTAAAATGCAATTTATGACCACATCTCGAACCCGGCTTATGACACTCGCCCATCACATCCAAGTGTTCTCTACTCGGAGACACAGACTCACCGCTCGCATAGATTTGATCCATTAATGAAGAATACATTTGCGAATCTTCTTTTTCCATACTATCGATAATCAACGCCGAGTCAAATATAGACTCTTCACTCGATACGTTTCCTATGACTTGTTTGTCAGACTCAATATGAGTGCCATTTATTTCTTGATTCGACACCGAGTTCTTCAGGGAATTCGCTTTCAATTCATTTTTATTATCCGTCACTTTATTTAGACTCAAATCACTGGTGGAGAGCAACGGTTTACTTTCGGCTAAGTCTCTCTTTTTTCTTACTTTACTTTCTTGACTCGTCTTTCTTTCTCTGACTCCTGTATTCTGTTTACTCCGAGCGCTCTCTTTATTCCTAACAGAATTTGTTTTAACGCTATTTTCCTTTTTATTAGTCGTAACCTTAATATTATTATCCTTGGAATTCAATGGTCTTAAATCAACTCTTTTGGATAATTTATTATTATTATTATTATTAGTAATCGCTTTCTTTTCACTTGCCTTTGAACTCGAAGTACTTTTGATGCTCTCTTTGCGTTCAGTTTTAACACCATTTGGTTTCCCATTTGTTTGCTTCACTTCTCGATTCTTTCCATTTGTTTTTAATTCATGAATCTTTTCCTTTTTAGTTGCACTAACTTTATCGCCGGCTTTTATCTGTAAATCTGACTTTTCATGTTCAACGGAATCTCTTTTAATAATTGCATTATCTTTTCCTATGTCTTCTGTTTCAATAAAATTATTGTTTATATCTTCTGTCAACAGTTTGATGTCTGAGTTAATAACTGTCTGTTCGGAATCACTTTCCCATCGATCAAAGTATTTGTCGTATTCATCCGTTTCTTCTTTCTCTGAATTCTTCTCAGATATTATTTCTTTATTATTTGTTTCATGAATTATTTTATTTACTTCTTTTGTTTCTTCTTTAATATTCAAATCAATTTTTTCGCTTATATTCTCTTTGTCTGAATTGGCAGTACTTTTCACAGATTCGTTGTCTAACTGTATAGAAGTAACAGAATCGGTGTCTTTTTTATCGTCTAGATTTTTATCACCGAGTTCTCCCTCGACTGAAGTAGTATTTGTTTCATTTAATTGATCGCTTGTTTTCACATGACTTTCCAATTGATTTGTTGATTCAATTATTTCTTCTAATTTTTTGTCCACACTTTTAGCCGAACTCTTTTGCTGTATTTCATTCATTTTTTCTGAGAATTCATTTTTTGCTACTATTTTCTTGCGTTTCCTTTCTTCAGAATCCGTAGACTTTTGTATTGAATGATCTGACATTTGTTCTTCACTTTTATTTTTCACACTTTTGTCACTTTTAAGATGTTTTCCATTTGTTGACATCTCTTTAGACGCCTGAATGACAGACTTTCTAATACTCTCTTTTCTAGCATTACCTATGGATCCTTTCGTGTCGGCTGAAGATCTTTGAGTATCACTTCTTGCAGTATCTTGTCTTTGAGTATCACTTTTCTTTGAACTCGTTCTCACCAAAGAATTTCCTCTCTTTTTATTAGTTCCACTTTTTGATGATTCATTTGCAGATGAATTATCTTTCATCAAACTGTCTTTTCTCTTGTGTGAATTGATAGCACTTTCTAAATGTTTTTCATTCAATTCAGTATTTTCATCGATTATATTAGTTAATTGGTCTTCATTTTTATGTGATTTTTCACTTATATTTTCAATTCCTGTATTTAAGTCGATTTGTTTGAGTAATAAGTCATCAGAAGTCATATGATCTCCATTTGTGATTTGGTTTTGTTTGCCTTCTATATTATTTTGATATATTTTTTCTAATTCCTTATCAGAAATAGGAAGTGAAGTGTCTTTAGTCTCCAAAACGACTCTAATATTATTGTCGTCGCCGTTGTATAGAGAAGAAGACGAAGACATGGATGGCGTGTAGACTCTGACAGCTTTCAGGTCATCGCTTTCGTGAAGCATTTTCCTCGACTTCTTCTTGGCTTTCTTGAGCGGAGGAACTCGTTTTGAGTGACAGACCGGGGTATTTGTGACGTACACATTGGTGATGATGGCCTGCTTTAGATTGGACGGCCTATCCATGAGTGGAGTTTCAAATTCACGAATATTTTTATAATGAGTTCCGCTCTCTATGTGAGCAGAAGTTAGTGGTTCTGGCGTTTGAGCCTTTTGTGAGACAAGTGTTGGCAGTTTTGGTAATTGTGTTCTCGAGGTTTCAATCGGTTTGGATTGTGTCTGAGTGTGAAGAATGGCATTGTCTGCAGAACTATCTGTTCGTGCTTTCCATTCATCCAAACTCTCCAAAGGACTGCCATTATCTAAGGCCAGTCCTTCAAGATGTGCCTCATCTGATGAGTATCTGTTGGCGATTGTATTGCTTGAGTTGTGGCTAATTCTGGAAGCGGGCAGTGCCTCATGAAGTAGCAGATACTTGGCTACCCCTCTGTACCCTTTCTGTAGAGCTGCGTCTAATGGAGTAATGAAATGGCCCTTCAGTTTCATAACTGTGTTCACATCAGCTCCGGAATCAATTAAAATTTTACACATTTCTATGTTATTATTGATGGCAGATATGTGTAGAGCCGACCGACCAAACGAATTGGTGGCATTGACTGCGGCAGGAATTTGATCCAGGAGCCATTTCACTAACTCTGAAATGAGTTTAATAAAACATCTACTGTAACAAATATGTTAATTACAACTATCAAAACTATATTTACAAGTTCTACAAGTACTACAATACAGTATTATAATACATTTATTCTGTAGTTCGAAAAGTTTGCAAAACTTATTGTTCAGACATACCTTTTCTACCAGATTTGACGGCTTCATGGAGAGGTAAATCTCCCCTAATATTCCTGAGCCAAAGATTAGCGTTGTGTTGCCCTAATATCTTAATGGTCTCGAGCTGACCCCTGGCCGCGCCTATGATTTTCAAGATTTAATATACTTTATGCTATAAACAAGTCTTGCAAAGACTGACCACAATGTGCAGCAGTCCTTCCTTTAAAGTCCTGGAAGTTTACGTCAGCGCCCGACTCAATGAGAAGTCGTGTGCAGTCGGCGTGACCTAAGGTGACCGCATAGAAGAGCGGTGGACATCCGTTGCCATCCATTTGGTTGACGTCTGCACTGCAAAGTGTAAGCAATGTCTCGACACAGTCTATATGTCCTCTACTGGAAGCGCAATGAAGTGCTAATAAATTGCAGAATAATGTTAAATGAAGTTTTAAATAAGAGATTATTGCACAGCCGTATGAATATGACAGACCTGTCAGTCCGTCTTTGTCTTTGGCTGAGACATTGGCGCCGGCATTGATAAGAGCCAGAAGTGCTGAAGAACTACTACCTGAAGAATAATTTATTTTACTGACACGAAGTTCTGTGTCGAGTGAACAACAATAACACACTTATGAGGACTTTAGAAGTGAGTGAATGAGACTAATATGAAAGTGTAATATGAAGGCTCACTTACCAGCGCTGGCGGCCCATAGCAAAGGGGTTCTGCCATCGCTGTCCACACAGTTTACATCGACATTTGGACTCTGAAGAAGTCGATTGAGAACTGCCAGTCCTATCGTCGAGTCGTTTGCGACGCAAATACCGCTGTGAGGGCTACACATCTGCGCGGAATAATGTATAGGATATGCCCCGTGAATGTCAGCCCTGGATGGATGTGCGCCACGCTATTAGCAGAATTACACTTTGATTTATTCACTCATTTTAATCGATTATTTCAATTAATAATTACATTTAGCAATAGATCCAGACATTCAAGTTCCCCACAAACTGTAGCCCAATGTATGGCTGAATGCTCTTCATTATCGCATAAATCAGCGAAATTAACATCACTTTTGTTAATCAAATAACGAGTTATTGTTTGGTTGCCATTAATCACACTTAAATGTAGAGCAGTATAGCCATCGGTGTCCTGAATGGTGAGCAGATCCGGACATTTGTCTAGAATCAGATCCGCACTTAAGGCACTGGAGTTTTCTGAACAGTAATGTAAAGCACTTCTATTGCTTTTATCCCTCAAATTCAACAAATAGGACCACTTCTGCAAAATCTCTTTAATCTCTTCCGTCGACTCTTTCTTAACAAAACTAATAAGTGATGAAAATCTGCTTTCATTATGACTTGATTTCTCTCTAAATTCCATTTGTGTTAATGATTATTAAAACTTTATAAAAATGATTTCAATAAATTATGTATTTTGTATGCATTATGTATAAAATAATATAAAATGCCCTTGATAATAAAAGTGATCAAAATTTCATAAAAGCTATTATTATTATTTCAATTATTTATTAATTCCATTGGTATTTATGTGCAAACTATAAATAGAAAGAAATAAACTTAATTAATATTCATAATAAAAAATATTCTATATTTATAGCTGTTAATAACATTTTAGTAAAATATTATTGCTATTTAAAATTTATTATCCTATAAATTAATTAAAACTTAAACCATTTTAATAAAGACAAAGTCAATAAAATGGGGACTAATTTGTTAAAAATTACATGTATTTATGTATGAAGTGTCCGATATATTCAAATAAGCCTAAAACACTAGTATAATTCACGTAAAAAAGACAATAATTCAAATCACGTATAATTTTGGTGAATTGGGTCAAAAAATAATCAAAAATTGAAACAACAAAATCATTAATGTATTGCGAGAACATACTAAACAATAGTACTTTAAATGTGATTCTTATTTCCAATGCACTAACACTACAAGAATTTTAAACATATTTTTAGTACAATATAATGTAAATTACAAGGATTTCTGTTTGAAACACATATATTCTTAAAATGTATATTTATTTATTTACACGACAAATTTCACATTTATAAGTCTCACAATCACAAGGAAATTGTTTGTAATATTCAAATACTATATTATTATAACATTTCATTAATTCTCAAAAGTGTTTTTGTAGTCAAAAGACTCAATCGATTAAAATAGGTATAATAAATATCATATATGCATAGAGTTATTGGGCTAAGGAATAATAAAATATAACTGCATTTCTGCACAACAACTTACTATTTGTAAACCAATTCTATATTTATTGATCTTTTATTGAAAACTCTATCATTTATTATATCTTTTAAACAAATGAGATCATTGTTTTGATTGCTTTTAATGTTTAGCTTTGACAATCTTTTCCGGATCGTCTTTGATCAATATAATACCTCTTACTTTAATGACATATTATTTGAATAATAATGTAATGATTTTTGCGCTTATGAGTTGATTTTAATTATTTCATATCATTTAGGTAAAAACAATTAAAAACATATTATACTTTCTGTATAAGAATAATGTAAAAATTTTAACTTAATTAAATGTTTTATTTAATTAATTAGATTATATTATAATTTGTTAATTTTATAAACAACAACCCATTTATGAGTACATATTAAATTTTAGTAAAATCATTAAAATGCTAAAAAGTGTGAAAGTATTTTAGTTCCGATTTAATTACAGTAATGATTTTTATTCTTTAAAATACTAAAGAGTTATTTTAATTCATATAGATAAAAAAATTTATTCAATATCTACTGTATATGAGTTTAACATGGTAAAATAATTTTTAATATTTGTTAAATTTTACATTTTTATCTTATAAAAATAATTTACAAATTAATTAAGTATCTAATGTACAAAATTTCTTTCAAAGACGTTGATATTATTGTATTACACATACAAAGTACTATTGTAGTATGTTTCACATTTACAATATTAATACCTGAAGTTACGATATATTTACTATAAGTTAAATTTAGATTAAATATAAATTATACGAATATATAATATAAAGTATAGTTGAAAAATATTACACATATTATAATACAGTACTACGATATTAAAGCTATATCATTTTTAGCTACTAATTTTCTTCGATAGATAATTTATTTTTGATAATAATTTAGTAACTTTGTTATTTTTAGAATATTAGAAATGCAACTTAAAGCTATTTATTGTATTATATTCAATCATTTTCATTCAAAATTTAATGGTTACCATAATATAAAGAACAATACTCTAAAATAGCCTATTATTTAAATAAAGTAAGTTTACATTTTGAATTGAACATTATAAATCATAAGTAAATTTCAGATCATTTTAATAAACTAAAAATTATTTAACAATTAGAATATTCATAAATCGTTTTGAATGACTCGAGAAAATCTAGACTAGAATTAAATAAAGAGATAAAATACATGTTTTGCAAGTGTTGTCATAGAGATTGAGTTATATTTCAAAAATCGGATACACTTTGAGCTCAATTAAAATATTGTGCTCTCTATTCAATACTTTGCTTTCAATGGACTAAAGGAATTCATTGGAAAAAATAACCGATTCTTTGCTTTTATCATACATTCCTAATCAAAAACTTCAGCTTTACTTACATTTCAGACACTTAGGGTTTATGACATTGCTTTAGTCTTGTAGGCACTTATCTGTCTGCACAAATTGAATGCTTTGTGTTGTAATATAATTGATAAGTGAAACAACAATTTGTTGAGTTAGTTGTCATCGCATTAATTGACACAAATTGAATGATAGACCGCACCCAATGACCCATTGACTCGTTCAACAACACATCGATTAGCACTCATTATTGACTCTAATTTTAAAACAATTTCAGCACTCAATAAATCACTGATTCTGTTGAAAGTGAACTCAAAAAAGACTTTTAAGTTGCATAATATTCGGTGTGATATGTCGAGCGCACAGTTGTGTCTATACTTTGAATTACAATATTCTGAGCGCTATTTTGTGTCCCAAATATTAACCACAGGTTTGACGCTTGCGTTCACTTCTATATTACCGTTATTATCGATTTCTCATAATTTCAAAACATTTATTCAATTATCATTATAATGAGCTTAAGAGTCGTGTCATACAATACTTGTGTAATATATATATTTTTCTTTATTTCTATCAAATGCCAATAATGAATGTTTTATGTATAAACATGTCTTAATATCTTTAAGAAATAAAATATGATATACCATCTTATAAATTGCCTTTTATATAAAAATGTTTAAATATCTAACATTTGTTAAGAATCACGAATCGTTTAAACTATTAATGAGATTAAACTTCAAATTCTTTGACAAAAACATGAATCTCAAAGAATATTATCGCAGTTTATTACATTACAATTTATAATCATGGGTATCATACATTGCTTAGAGATAAAATTATTGAGTTTTATCATCTTAGAAAAAGTTTAAATTTCTAATAAACCTAAAACTAAAACTAAAATTCAAAAGACTTTTAACTTATGATATAAGTCTAAAGACAAACAGAATTTCATAAATACAGTAATAGTCAGATGTATTGATATATTATAAAAGTTTGTATTTATTAAGTCATTCATTGAATGGAGGCATACATAGGATCACTGTTCACACCAATGCTTACATTGAATATATAATCCAAACAATTGATCCACAATTCAATCACTTCTGTAACCAACCATTCATTCATGAAATGAACGATTCTTTGCAAAAGTTTGTCCAGAATTGGTGGCAATCAAAGACATGAATGATGACAAAAGTGGACGTAATTTATGGACAAACACTCATACATTTCAAACATTGCTGTTTTTGTCTTCATTTGATCCGTTTGGGTGACAATTGTTTGACTCAAATCACACTCTCATTCATATTCATCGACACGTTTGACCACAAAAACAGTCAAAATGGATGTGAAAGTGAAGACCAAACGTATGGGCAGTTCCCGGAAGCATAAGAAGCATAAAGACAAGGATAAGAAGAGTGACTTCGAGACCAACACCAGTGAACAGAAACCTCTTCGGCTGGTCCTCAAAGTGCCGACCGTTTACTCGTCGCAGTCGAGTCCCAACACCAGCGCACAGACGGCGCCCCCACTCGAGCCTCACGTGGAGGCCATGGATGAGGGCGAGAGTCCGCCCAAACTCATGGCATTCAGCGGTCTTTCGCCGCAAACGAGTCAAACGTCTTCGAAGAAAGTGAAGAAAAAGAAGTCGAAGAAAAAACATCGAAAACATTCGCACCATTCGGGGCACCACTCGCGACATCGGCACCGATCCCATCATCGCAGACATCACGGCTCCTGTTCTCACCACTCGAGACAATCGCAAGACTCGACTCAATCGCTGTCGACGGCTCTGTTGCCGACCACGAAATCGCCGCAAAAGAGTTCCGGTTCTTCCAAGAGTTCAACCAAAAGCCAATTCCAACAGTTTTTATCTCATTTATTGAAGCAATTGCAGCGCAAAGACATCCAGCAGTTCTTCGCGTGGCCCGTCAGCGATATGATAGCTCCGGGATATTCGTCTATAATATCACATCCCATGGACTTGAGTACAATGAAGAAGAAGATCGACCAAAACGAATACGAGACGCTTCTGGTGTTCAAGTCTGACGTGAAACTCATTTGTGACAATTGCCAGAAGTATAACCGACCGGAAACGGTGTACTACAAGGCGGCCACTAAGCTGTGGCACTACACCAGAAACAAACTCCTCAATAAGGAGGCTCTCATAGACGTCATGAGGAGTTATCCCGGACTCAGCAGTTATGAGTTGGGCTTCCATTTCGAGGACCACAACGCTTCCACCTCTTTGGCCGAATCCGAGGTCCGTCACAGTAAAGGATCAGATTTAGTAAGTTTGACGCCAATGACTGTCGGAGAGACTCTGCCGTTGGTTGACGAGCGACAGGAACTACAAGAGGCGGAGGCCATGGATGAGGACGGGCTCACACCCGAACAGATCCTCGAAGAGGCCAAAAAGGCGGCACAAATGGCTGCCGACAGACTCACTCTTGAGCGACCAAATGGCGCCAACTTATCCTTTTTAAGACAGCGATCAGACGGAAGCACTACTCTATCTATTGTTGGGAACCATAGCTATGAACACAACATTAATTTGGAGGCACTGGTGGGTAAACTGGTTGAGGGAACCGCTGCTATGCCGCCGTTCAAAGAAGCNTACTCTATCTATTGTTGGGAACCATAGCTATGAACACAACATTAATTTGGAGGCACTGGTGGGTAAACTGGTTGAGGGAACCGCTGCTATGCCGCCGTTCAAAGAAGCTGAAGTGAACCGCATTAAACCCATTGAATCAGTGAACGAAAGTCCGTTTTGTTCGTATTTGCCGTATTTGGACACTTCGAAGGCAAACCTCAATGAAGAGGACAGCGCTCTACTGCTGTCTACTTATGGTGACGACGAGTTGGGTCTCCAATACGCTGAGAGTATAACACAGTTCGCTCACGAGACTGACTATGTCCTCAATTTAGTGGACTCTTTGCTCGATATCCTAACCCACGGACAGCACCAGAAGATTGCCATAAAAATACGTGAGAAGCAAAAGACTGCTGAAAACGAGACATCTGTTCAGAAGTCTAACACTGAGGCAATAAATACTGAGACGAATACTAATGGGATTCAGACTCAACTCAACGAAACTGGGTCTCTGATCGGACAGTTAGAATCACTACAATATCAACGCCTGTCCTCTTCTACTCTACCCATTAAGCCGTCGGCAGAGGAGGAGAAACTGGCGAATCAGTTGTCATCTAAATTAACTGATATTATAGGAACTCATGTGGCGCCTAAAGAAGTTTCAGAAATCAATTCAATCCGAAAAGCGATGGGAATTAGGATTAAAACAGAGAAATGAATATTTAATAGCGATTTAAATGTATCGATAAATGACTGCACTTTATATTTATTATTCAATACATAACAGTAACTCATATTATATAATAAACCACATTAAGATCAATGTTTTATTTCATTAATTTTTGTATTTAACTATTTCTTTACACTATTTTTAGATTTACATGATTTTATCCAAAAGAACATAAACTTTATATCCAAGCAGTTATATTTCCCATTCAATTGGTTTTAAGTTTTGTATTTCTACAACAAAAGTGTAAATAAACATTATTTTGAAAGCAATATACATTCAATGAGTTCAATGATATAATGTCACTCATGTATCAAATGAAAGCAATTGATTGAATTAATATTGAAACACAATTTTGTGAATGAATTTGGAAATGATTAGTGAATACACTGTAAGAGTAGAGTAGAGGCAGTGTATGAGTGTGTGGTCTATGAGTGACTTATAGTGAGTGAGGGTTTGTTGACAACACATGAGAGACTGGTGTCGAGTCAGCATTGAATCAGTGAATGAGTGAATGTATTGTTGTTATGACTGCTTGTCAACCACTCGTCTCTCCGGAGAAACCAAACTCTCTTCACATCTATAGTGCACTCAATCTGTGGTTCATTTAAGACACCATTCATCAGGACATGACTTCCAACACCAGCAATGGTGTCATGAATGACGCCAACAGGTGTTGGAAGAGGTGTGCGATATGTGTGACCAGTGATCACGTCTTCGAGAGTCCCAATGAATTCAGTGGACACTTACGCGATGTCCACTCCACTCGTGAGGGCGGCTCTTATGTGTGCAGATATGGACCAAATGGCATCTGCTCTTCACTGCCCGTCGAAGGTGTGTCCGATCGTGACTACGAGTCCCATATTGTCAAGTGTCATATATTCCCAAATCAGACCAAATCCAGACAATTGTCTCATAAACTGATCCATGAAGTGAAGGAAAACGGCAAACAAATCATAGCAACGGATACTGAGAGCCGACGCCAACGACAGGCGAAGTCCATCTCCAAGAGAAGTCCATTTCCTCTGCCGTCGAGTAACGAGTTGTTTGAATCAAATGCCTATTTATTGGACAATCGGTTGGAGCCGAAGCCCAACGTAATCAGTGATAGTCTGCAGACATGGAGTGTCTACTCCTCGTCGCAGAACTTGGCATCAGTTCTGAACGATCCGTCAAAATCTCGCAGTTATTACGAGACGATATTCACCAAAGAGTGGGGCAATCACTTCGTGGACACACCGACTGTACTCCAGAGTCCATTCCATCCAAAGATATCTCATTCGCATTTCGATCAATACATCAAACGAGTGCTGAAACGGAACCGAAGACAACGACTCCGGAGCCGAAGCGAGTCGTTGTCACTGCAGACACAGTCGCAGACCAGAAGTGCCGACACTTTTGTTCCCAAAATATTTTTTAACACAGAATTTAATTTAGAAAATATCGACACATTTAAGACGGTTTTGTCTTTCTGTACGAACAAAGAAGTGCTGACCAGTTGTCCGACGTCTCCCACCAAATGGAATCCCATCGCAAAGGAAGCCATGAAAGAGCTTCAGAGGAATTTCTCCGAGTATTTAGATATAGTTGAGGAGAATCTGGCGAAACAGATATCATTGAAATCGAAGAACTTTTTCCAAGTGATGTCAACAATGGATACAGTGATGGAACAGTTGAAGAGGACAATCAAAGAAGTGACTCTTTTGCGCAAAAAGTGTCATCGATTGGAGAACTGCTTAATAGAACCGAGTCTTAAGAATATAAAGTTAACAAAAATCAGGAACAATACCAAAGATGTGTATAATAAGATCCATCTAATGGCAACCGTTCATCAAACGCAACCAACGATCCAACTCTTGTTGTCGACTCTAGACTTTGCCGGAGCTCTTGATCTCATCTCTACGTCACAGGAAGTGGTGGCACAAGAACTCTGTGGAGTACATAGTTTCAGGTCTGTCCATACATTCAAAAAAAATTTTAATATATAAATAATTATTTTATTGATTAAACCCAAAGACATCTTAAACTACAACTCATGGAAATTGAGAAAGTGATCGATCAGATGATGAACGAAGAGTTTATTAAATATCTGACGGCTGAATGGAACCGACCGTTTGATAGTGAAGATGACATCCATCTCATGGATGAGGAAAAACTTTTATCTATAATCTACGGAATGGTTCGTTTGCAACGATTTAATTTCGTGGATGCTTTCCGAGAAGAGGCCAACACTGCCATCAAAGCTGGTGTCAAACAGACAGTCATTGAAGCGCTTTCTTCTGAAGACAACATAGAAGTTGGACAACGATTTGATGGCAGTCTCTTCGACCAGTTAAGGGTTTTGGAGTTTTCCAAATGGATTACACTATTGAATAAAGTGTTTGATAATCTCCTCAAATGTCTGAAACGGATTAATTCAGTCTATAATGTGATGTCTAATGGATTGAATGCCATAACCGAACGCTCTTATAGTGAAGAGAAGAGCAGAGAATTGGAGGCAACTGTTGGCGAGACGTCTGTAGACGCTATAAAAATCTTATTAGAGAGCGATTCCATCGAATTGAGTACTAATTTAAAGGAGTCATTGTGTGGTATCTGTGATTTCGCGCACAACCGATGCGCTCATGTAGTCGAGTCGCGAGCAAAAGAGGGCGGACTCGATCGGCTCACCCCTAATGAGTTCGTTCGGCTCAACAAATCAATCGAAGATTTTAGTGATAGTTGTCAACAGATATGCGGCCGAAGGAGTCCTAACCTGAAGCTTGTGCTGCAAACTCAGGCCAATAAGTTTGCGACCAAATTCCACGACGAAAGGAAAAAGCGGATCAACTCGTCGCTGGACATCGAACAGTGGAAATCCGTTGATTCGGTGAGCCATGAGTTTCAAGATCTAGTCAATCAACTCATAGACCGACGATACGAATTCGATGAAACCAAACGAAACTCGAGAGCCAATGAAGAGAATAACCAAAAGTTAAAGTCATTTGTTTTAGTCAAGAACCAGAAGTTTGTTGTCGTCAATGTTGTAATCGTTTTGATTAAAACACTTATCGAGTACTGCGAGTGCGCCCAACAAATCAAGTCTTTGAGTCCCGATCTGTTGACCCGATTGTTGGATATCTTAAAGCTCTTCAATTCAAGAACCGCTCAATTAGTGTTAGGCGCGGGGGCTCTACAAGTGGCCGGCCTTAAGACTATAACTGCCCGCAAACTTATTATATCGTCGCGTTGTTTACAATTAGTTATTGTTTGTATACCTATTGCTAAATCACATTTTGAAACACTTTTACCGCCTAAACACCAATCAATGTGTAAACATTTCGATGAAATCATACGATTATATTCCGAGCATATCATCAAAATTCCAGAAAAAGTTATCGCAGTTGTCCGAGAGATCGCTGAATCGCATCTCTCCAAATGGGTGGCCAAAGCACCCGTCCCTTCACCACCATTTCAGGCTATATCTCAGCATTTGATGCGATTGCACGACAATATTCAAGACTCACTTCCAGCTAACGATTTGCTCCAACTATTCCAACAAATCCATAACACTGTCAAAGAGGTTCTCAGAACTCATTTGGAAAGACTTCAAATACAAAAAGACGGCGGACCTCAACACGGGTTAGCTCTCTCTCTCTCTCTCTCTCTCTCTCTCTCTCTCTGCTAATTATTAATTATATTTACTTTTCATCCAATGGTTAGACTCGTGACCCAAGAGATGACATTTTACACGCAAAATCTTTACAAATTATCGATTGGTAAACAATTGAATTTATCAAATGATGATCTCTGGATAATGAAATATTGAGTTAATAATTTTATATAAATTTATCAAATGATCTAACTTTTGATTATTTGATTATTATGTTTGTTGAATGCATATGTTTTTAATTATTTAATTGTTAGAGAAAATAAATATCTTATGCAAATTTTTATTTGTAATTTCCGTATGTTTATGAAAGCTATTTATATATTTAAAAATATATTGTAAATAAATATTGTAAAAACGAAACTTTTGATTTGATTTGAAACAAGAATTTAGTTGTTGAGTTGGGCTTCTAATCTCGATCTTAGGATTTATTATCAATTGATTCAATATTTTTCTATATTTTATATCAATAAAGAAGAGCTTAAGTCTATAGAGTATTATTGAATCGATTCTCTCAGTGAAGTCAAAACTCAGAGGGATTTTAGACAACAATTTATCATTTCTGGAGTCGATTCGAGTAATTGATTGCATCGCCAACGATATGATATATTTGGCTTCAAAACAACCTCTAATTAACTCTACAATAAATGTAAGATATTTTCTGCGAAAACATTTTATACCGAATATCGTCTAAATTCTTGACGTTAAGTCTAGCGATTCTGTGTGCCATTCATTCCTATGCCTATCCTTGAAAACCAGTTGCCCTTCAAAATACATCACAAAATAGTATACATTTAAATTACTAAACAATTGAGTCTAAAAAACTTTGCCATGTTTTTTGACATTGAATTATCATTGAAAAACATGGAATAATATCTCTTTCACTCAATCATTAAATGCAATTCAAACGTGTGTTAAATGGGTTTACAGCAAAGAAAGTATAGTATAGTATAGTACTGTATAGTATAGGTAGTAGCTGATTTAATGAGTGCTTAATATGCATTTCAATAATACAAGCAATTCATTATAGCAACAGACAAAATAATTGTTTTCGTGTGAATAATATTTACTACAATATAAATCATACGGTATATTAAAATTAAATCTAATATTAGATATTTAAGGTAACCAAAAAATATATAAAATTCAAAATCATTACAAATGTCATGAAAGATATAAAAAAATCATAATCATTACAAGTGGTATAAACATTAAACTCCATTAAACTCAAAAACAAGTTTGTTTTGACTGTTGGTTGCAATTAACTTTTTAGTATATTATTTAAAGTGAGGACAAAATTAGAAAAACAAAAGGTATTAATATATAAAAAGTGTATGCAAAAAAGACTAACCCTTAAAAAGATTTACATTTAAAATATGTTTTTGTGAAGAAGTTGTGGATGAGTGAGTGCACACATACTGTACTGTATATGCAGTGTATGCATGTATGCCACTTAATTACCCTTTTCCTAATATTCAACTTCGGGTCAACTCATATTCAAGTGTTTTGAATATATTGTTTTTAATTGTTTAAACACAATATTTAAATATTCATCTCCTGTTGAATACATCTACAGTATGCTCCGGTCATAGGTAAGGCATTATTTTTAAACTTTTTGTATTCAATAGGTGTTTCTCTATTTTTCAAAAGCTATTTTGAATTTATTTTGGGACAAACGTATAATTATATCAATGCCATGTTCATATAATTTCGCAAATTTTCCATTATCTATATGAATTGCATAACATTGGTACGGTTTTATTTTCAGGTAAGAAATAGTAAATAACCTCAGTTTACAATTCATATCCAATTTTCCTTTCCTTTAAATTGCAAGACATTTAACTTAAATAATGGAAAAATGTTTATATCCTACTTATTTCCAAAATATAAATATACCGTTGTAAAATTACATGTTTTTTCTGAAGGTTTTAAAAATATTAAGCAATAAGTCTAATATTTACTCTTTTTAAATTAGAAATTACAACATTTTAAAAGTAAATATCTCATGAGCTCTAGTTTCCTTTTTCAATTTTGTTTTAAATTAATTATAGGTTATTAAAACTTATTGATACATAAAAATAATTATAACTTCATTAATTTTGCGCTATAAATAATTTAACATGTTTTATACTATAGAAATATTTTATCTAAGCTTTAAATTTAAGAAAAATAAGATTTATTTTAAGAATATTTAAAATTTCAAATTTTGACATTTTCTTTAATAGGTTTAAATATATTTGAATATTAATAGAATTTAAAAATATTTGTATTTACATTTCATGTCATATCTAAGTGTACGAAAAACATAAAAGTCTAATCGATTTAATATCATATTGTTGTGAGTGTAGCTTAAAATTTAATTTAATACACAAACACACAATAATATGAACTGACATTTGTCTCACTCAATAGATTTCGTTTTCTTTATAATTATCGGATTGAATTTCATAGTTTGATACAATGAAAGCACATATTATTAAGAATAAATTCTTACTTTCTCTAAGCATTGAAAATTTATACACGAATTGTCATTAAATGGAAATAACATATAACTTATAAAAATCAATAATTAAGTTGAAGCGAAGTTGGGAATGGAAAACAGGAATATAATGATAGCATATAATAGCAAAAAATGATCGTTTGGTGTGATATGTTCAGAAAAGAAACTAGAATTTGGTTCATATGAGTGATGTTATCCTTGAACCAGAAGAAGAGTTGAAGTGATGGCAGAGACAAAGGTTTTAATTGGTGTGAAAGGAGTTGCGAAGGCCGTGGAAAACATGTTGAAAAGTGAATCATGTCTTTCATGTCTTACAGCGAATTGCATATGAATTGACCAAAAGCTTAATTTATCTAAAATGTTGTTACTATAGAAACATTTACAACACACGACTACTAAAATATTGAATAAAATACATTTATTCAGGTAATAGTGAGTTCATAATAGATAGACATAGAGAGATCACACCCAACACATCGACAAACACCGATCACATCACTGTATGTACGGACAGAATATAGTGATAGAGGGCTCACATAAACCTAATAATAAATATACTCTTTTCATGTAATCTATTGTTCATTCGGGCGATAATAGTGTTGTTTTCCAACTATTCATTTATACAATATTTGGATATTTGCTTTCAACACTGTTTCGTACAAGTATTATACGAATCGATGCAATCGTACACCTGTTTCACAGTTTTCACAATTAATTCTCGTCCTATTCGTCCGCATAGTAGTGAACGGCCTAAAGGTTGTCATCGAAATATGAAATTATTATAAAACAGCAACTCTTTTGTGCTTTTATGCATTCAGTTGTGTTTTATTGTAATTATAATTAAATAAATGCAAATAAAGTGCAAATTTAAAATACTATCAGAATCTTGTTTGAAAGCTTATAATGTTAATGTGATGTTACAAAATGTTGGCATTTAATTGTGTCTATAATGTATAATGTTTTTAATATTAAAGGACAAACATTAAGGCTCTGAGTGTGAAGTGAAGAAGTTTTTGTTTTTTCTCGACACCAATGAATGGTGAATATGATTGTACTTCCTTTATGCTAATCATATGAATGATTATTATTGTGTGGATTTCATGTGAATGGCATAAAACGTATGAACATTTAGCCTAATATGTGGAGTGCTGTAGACTTATCCTACTCTGTGCTACAACTAGACTACAGTGTACTCCAACTCTAGTGTCAAGTCATATACTCATGAAACAATTATTATAAAAACTTTTATTTGAAGAATATTTTGTATTTTGGGTCAAATGTGTTAAAGTAAGCTTCAAATGTGATTTGTTGGAAGCAGTTAGCAATGGTAGCAGTTATGGGCCAATAACCTGAAACTGTTGTCAGCTTATGATAGGTATGAGCGCTAACTGACCCGAACTAGCGATGCATTGCATTCAATACACACTTTGCCTACAGTTCCCTACAGTTCCTACAGTTCTATATATTAGACACTTCTTAATCTAACGCTAACCTGAATCGTATGACTTTGAAACTGAAATTCATTCAACTAATGAATATAACGAATGAATATAACATTATTATTGTTATATTATGTGAGCTATCGGTGAAATTGAAGCCAAAGTAGGTCGCAGTCCTTTATTATCAACCATATTATCATATTATCAACAGTATTACACTATTACACAACTAGCCATCAATGTTGGTTCAGTTGATTCATGTGCTCAACACTCCACTCAATCCATACAATCCATACAAACCATTCACTATTCACTCATTTTGTCATTTAATATGTAAAACATTATAGCAATGAATGCGGATATCGATAGAGACGACACATATGTCGCACAGTTATACCAAGTGTTCAATTCGTGCGATCTCTACGGCACCGGACTCTTGGGTGAGGACGAGCTCTTCAACCTATGTATGCGATTGCAGTTGGATGACACACAGACTAATTATATCATCACCAACTTAATTGGCAATGATATCATCGCCAAAGTAAGTCACCAACACGAACACTTCCAACAAGTTTTTACAGTATTAGTCCATATGTTGTGACAAATAGTCATTCAATTGAATTAAAAACTTTATTTATTTCTATTTATTCTTTAAAGCACTCAAAGCTTTCATTTATAGTTTCAATCAATTTCTTCCTTCTTTTCGGAAGACTTTCATCTCATTTATTATTATTTCATATTTTCTTTTGCCATTAAGTCTAATAAGTATAAGAATACTGTACTATAGAGTAGTGAATATTAATTTAATATATAATTATATAATAAATGGTTTTAAACGACAGAAATTCAAATGGAAAGTGAGTGCATGTAATCATTGGTTTATTTCACGATTTAATTAATTTCACTATAATTTAAAAGTAATTTGAAAAATCTTGTTATTATTTGGGAATATTAGGTCGAATATAGTCTTATTTTAGAAATTAATTAGTCATTCAATTATCACTTTTCACACAAATCTAAAAATATTACCTCATTTTTTACGCTTTAATTAATTCGTGTTTTTACTATAATTTCTTTACTTTTTTAGATTAATTTCGACGACTTTAAGGAAATATTTGTATCTCTTTTGACTCAAACCGAAAACAGTGGCGAAGAAGAGCATCGATCGCGCGTTGAGACCAACGATGGAAACGACGTGAAGAGCGTCCACTCGTATGTCGACAACAATAATGAGTCCAACAATAATAGTCTTCAAAATAGTATCCACGACATGAATACCGAACAGTATTTAAGGAGTATTTGGGAGCGTCTGGGGGTCGGGAGTAATGGGTATCTAAATATCGACGACTTGTATAGGGTTTGCGAACACATAGGAATGGTTGACATTAATCGTGAGATAATAGAGCAGTTGTTTGACAAATTGGATTCAGATCAGGACGGGAGGGTCAGCTTTGATGAGTTTCTGGACGGCCTCTTTCAACACGACACTGCACTCTATGACACCACCAGTGATACCCATAATAGTGATAATGGCGTCAATTTAATGCAATTACCACAAGAATGCACTCATATTCCAAGTGCTTCTCAACCAAACATCTCTAGTCTAACGCAATCCCAATGCAATCGTATCAATGATTTGGAGCCCAATAGTCATGAGAATAACAACAATAATAATTTACTGCAACCACACAAGACCTCCTTCTTCGACAACATGCCCTCAGCATACCTGTCCACTCTCGACCCGGACAGGACCGGGTAAGACATGAATCACTTTTTAGTAATAATTTATTGCTTCTTATCATTTCATTTACATTGCTTTCCAACACTGCTATTATATACATACAAAGTCAGGAACTGTTTACAAAATTTTAATCTTTCATTTAAAAAAGTTTTTTTTTCAAAAATCAGACAAAAGTTAATTGATAATTATATTAATCATATGTGAATTAATTTATATATAAAAATGAGTAAAACCTAATTTTATACAATTTTATTAAATGAAATATATTTAAAATGAGAATATATTAGACAACTAAATGCTTATATGACTAGAAATGCTTTGTATTATGTTTTTTGAGTTGATGTAAGAAATTAGTCCTTAAAAAGACAAATAATGGTGAATAGCGTTATGAGTGAGTGATGCGAGTATTTTGTTTACATATCTTCTCAAACTTTATTCATTAGTTTCCAAGACTAACATCAAAATGAGTTTTGCTTTTGTTTTGTCAGTCAGTCTTGAACTCGAAGTTATATATAATATAAGACAATATGTTGTACCGGTATTGTGTATATTATGTAAATATTGAGCATTAGTTTGTATGCATTGTTGGCGTCAGGAGTTAATCGGATAATCCGCGCTTAACAACAACGCGCCGCACGATTGACCCAAAGGGGTCTACCGTTTGGGTGCAGAAACCAGTAGTAAATGAACATAAAAAGCATTCCTAAACCAAATGCTCCCAAAACGGTAGCCAAGGCTGGCGTGTGATACCACTTGAGGGCATCACTCCGTATATACCATAATATGATGAATGAGATGTTTTCACTCAATACTATCGTGTAAAAGGAGAGATACTTATAGCGGGTGGGCTCGTCCTTAACGTTGAGAAAACAGATGAGGTAAATGGCGCCCACTATCATATTGAACAGGTATTCGTGACAAGGTCGGGCATCACCCCTCTCACTGTCACAGAATCTGGTTTGTTGGTGCATGATCCAGATGGTCATAATACCCCAGTGGCCAATAGCCACGGGAAACACCCAATAGCTATATTCGCTTATAAAGAGAGCGATCGCTAAAACCCTGGATCCGATTGTGCAGAACCGCCATAAGAAGTGTGTTATGGTTGCCATTCGCGAGACATTCAGTTTGCTTGGAGTTGATCTCCTCAGTGCTCTGTTATACGAAGCCATAGACCAACTCAACTCAAATAGAGATGATATTATAGCTGCCATTTGGACGTATTCTGCAATTTATTAAAAAAGCATATTTTCATTTTATTTGCAATAAACAAAAAATAATATAATAAATAACTTATTCTTTCAATTCTTGAACAAAAAAAGTCATTTTGAATACAATCTTATATTTGCTAGACTTATATAATAGAGTGAGGGGTTGAGGGGTTTGACTGTTATTAACGCTATTAGCGAACATACACTTCACTAATAAAAGAAAATCAGATGAAATATATGGAGCCAAAAGTGTTTCTCTTTGCAAGTAATCATATTTTCTGATTTGAATTTATGGCTCATTAAACAGACGAACAATTTATACGTCTATTCACTCAAAAATTGTGCAAAAAATCTTCATTTATTATTAATAGTTTTGAAATTAAAGTATCGCTCAAAAAAATTGCATCAAAAGTATGCTCAATACGAAAGAGATAGAGATAGAGATAAAGAAGGGCTAGAGTTTAGAAATGAACTCTTTTTATAAGGCACTAAATCTGGCAGAAGAGAGCAGTTTTGAAAAATGATATCAATTTATAATAAGATTATGAGAAAAAATCGAGACTTAGTTTACAGTTTAAGCGAATAAAGAATTTCACACAACATATCTCATATAACACATCAGAATATTCCGGTTATATTTTAAATATTTAAAGATACAAAAAATATTGCCAAAATGTTTCAACCATTTATAGTTGTTGTCAAATGTTTTGAAGCTTTCATTTTAATAGTTTTCTTTTGGGGATTAAAAATCTAAATGTGATATACCTTTAGATATATTGAAATCCGGTTTAGATTTTGCCAATAAATATATTTGAAGAACCATTTGAGGCGCGCATTGAATGAAGCTTTTGAGTAGAGATAGCAGAGCTGTATCCCTGTCCTCATGAATGGCCAACAGATAGTAATCAATTTGCGGCTCATTTGTCACCTAAAATTAGATCCATTGGTTAAATGATATTTATGTAACGAAAAAGGATATGCTTTTTGTGAAAACATACATGAGTTTGGCTTTCCGTGTGATTAGTTCTCTGAAGAGTGGACAGAACCGGCAGTGCATTCATTTGCCACTCTCTCTGCTCGTGCTTCTCATTGCGTTTGTTCTCTGATCTACTCTCTAATCCATACCACAGAAGCTCCAGATATCTGTTCCATGAGAAAAACAATTGGCATTCAATGAATTGATTACAATTTATAGATTTATATCATCCAAATGCTAACAAATTGCTTGAATTCGCACTTTATTTTGCTTTATTTGTCTCAATTTTATTACATTTTTATTTTCCTTTCGGATCAATATTTAAGATTTATTACACAAATAAAGCCATTCGATGTCCATCTCATGACTTTCTATATAAACACTAATTTATTATCACAAATATTATAACAATTCTTATATATTTACTAAAGATTTGAGAGAAGTTATCGATTAAAACCTACGAAATCGACAAAAATGGTCCAGTTTTAGACCAATTTTGTCAAATAATCTAATTTCTCACAGTTTTTGATAATTTTGTTTTCGAAGCGATATTTTTCAGATTGTTTTATCGTTTCATTTGTGAGAGTATTATCTAAACTAATGTTAAAAAGCTATAGAGAAGTGAAAGTTTAGAAAATTATCGAAAGGTTTTTAAAATTAGAGTTGAGTTGACAATTAATTTTAAAAAAGCAATTTGAAAAGTAAAGGACCTCTAGAAAATAATATCAGATTGTGAATTACATAAATCATAGCCATTAGAGCACTTGTATCTCAAATCTAAAGCCATTTTGGGGGCCATTCAATGGAATTCTAAATTTTGGAAACCCATGCCATCAAAACCTTAAAAACGATTTCAAAGTCTGAAAACTTTTTCTCTCTAAGTATAAGATGAAGAGATTTATTATAAGTTGCAATGAATTTAAACACTAGTGGCAAAGGAATAGTAGAGGGAATGGCATTCTGTTTATTGGGCTGACTATAGACCGAAATAGGATTAACACAAGAATTGGTGAGAAAAGTGCAAAAGAAATAATAGGAATAAAGCAGTCAATTGTGAGCATTGATGCCTATAATGGCCATGTATTGCAATCTATGGCAATGTTAAGGAACTGTTTGATTTCCCCGAGGAATAGTTCACCACTAGAGCTGCAAATAAACAACATTTTCACTAACTTTCGACCCGAAAATTTCCACAAATTTGGATAAAATGGTATTTGTTTCTCGAGTTTTTGAAAAGAAATTTTTCGGTAATGTCTGCAGACATTGACAACAGCCGGGAGTCTGTTGTAACTCTCGAAACAGGCATTCAATCCAATGACCATTTGATAGAAGAAACAGTTGATAGGACTGAGCCAACAGTTCCATCCATTTTGCAAATCATTTTAAATATAAATAATTGCATTACAGTATAGAATATAACAGATTTGAGAGATCTTCAGACAAAACAAACAAAAACATTTAAAATTGCATTTCAGTTTGCGACGATCAACGAGTCAATCATTATTTTTTTGTATTAAATTTTGTATTATTATTCATTAAATGCTAAACTGTTTGGGGAAATGTTGACAAATAAATGAAATTTCGGTCAAATGTAGGAATTGGATAAAAATGCGAATAGAATTGAATGACAAAAGAATTGCTTTTAATTAAGTTTGCAAATTATGCTCAAAAACAAATGCTTTTCTTTTTGAATCTTATGTTTCCTTTTATTCAAATTAAATGATTTGCATAAAGAAATTATCCTAAAGGTATGCAAACTTATGTTTGAAATACTTTTAATTTATTTGATCGAAGTAACCGAAAGGGTTACACAAATTCAATAAATACGGTATTATTTTTAATGAATAAAATTAATATTTAATATGTATTCTGAATATTATTTATTTTTATAATGAAATACTTTTCATTAAATACTGAGTGTCTAATCCGCTATAACTTCGTGTCAATCCAAGTAATTGTGGTTTTATTAAAATCATAATAAATAAAACCTAACCTGGGGTGAATGTTATCCAGTTAAAGACAAATGCCATTCACTCTAACATTGATTTATTGAATAAATATTCAAATGGTATTCACAAACAAAATATACAAATAGCAAAGAAGTTAATTGAAACGAAAGTCAATTGTAATGTTTGTTTATATTTATGTTTGTTAACAGATTCTCGAAATGAAATGAAGTTGGAAATGTCTTAATTGCAGGGCGCATGTATGTCCCGTGAAGTGTCGGTGCAATTGATGGCATTCATGGTTTACATTTCGGAATCAATTTCTCGAATTAGAGAATTGTTAGGAAAGGGATTGTGAGGAGAATAGCAATGATTGTGAGAATGACTCAAGCATTTCAATGTGCACTCAAAAGCCTTATTTAATGGCAACACAGCCAACAGTTTTGAGGCATTTTTGTGTTGAATATGAGTTGAGTTACAGAAATGAACTTAAATTACAGATTTAGGACTCATTTTGATTCAGTTGTTCTATTGGTTTGGTTTTTGTTTGTAATACAAAATCCAAATATTGGTGCAGAAAATGACGAACAAATTCTATTAACAATTTATTGCACTCTTTCTCTCTCTCTCTCTCTCTCTCTCTCTCTCTCTCTCTCTATTTTGCTGTCAATTCATATAATTGATAAAAGAAAGAGGAATGCGCTGACAAACTATCCCTTCACTCCTTCACTACACATACAAATTCATAGACAACTTCTCTCGTAAACCCAATCCAATCCCTCTTTGCAATGCAGACCACATTCCCTCACAATTCCTGATTAGTGTAGAAAATCTCTAACTTTTATAAAGTCAGCGAAAAATTATTTTCGGTTTACATTTCGTTTGAATGAATTTGAATAAAGAGTTCTATAAATATAACTCGACTCACAATATATGAATAAATGCTTTCATAAAACAAACATTAAATTATTATAATAACAACCACTCGATTGTTTATAACCGCAATGTATTTAGCCTTAAAATCAAATGATTTGAACGAAAAAATATTTGCAAAACAAAAAAAGTTTTTAGTAATAAAATTGTAATAAAAATGATGTTAAATATAGTAAAGAAGAGTTGAGTGGAGAATTTTCCGGCGATCGAGCAGTTAGTCTGTTATATGCCTTTCCATTGAATAGTGTACTGTATATACAATACACTCAACATTACATGACATTACGGAATATGGTATGCCTTTAATAGTGCACTCAATTCCTCTGTTTTGGACTTTTTTCTCCGTTATTTCTCTTTTTCTTATCGATTGCACTAAAGTATAGCCCAAAACTGATATCAATATTTTCGATCGTAGGGTTGATTCAATCAGTCCTAACAATATAATACTTAACTGTTGTGTGCACTCGACAGCCCTTTGATTGATATAAGAAGTGCACAAAGAAATGTATATTAAAGTAATAACACTCCAAAAATATAGTAATGATTCTGATCTGCATTTTTTGTAAGTGATTGCAAACCAACTCTTACTTAATCTACTTCTCACTCCATTATGTTATTCTGTATAACAAAAACTTCTTATAAACTATTCATTATATCGTATCATATATTTGTCTCAAATGCAGACAAACACTGTTCACTGTTAACCCTCTTTTTATACGTGTTTTGTGTCATTTCAATGGTCTCTACACTTTAAGTATTAAATCAATTATATTTCATGTTCTCAATTATTAATTTGTAAATTGCTTTACAATTATGATTCATATTTAGAGTCTATCACTGCAATGAGTTTATTAATAGTAATAAATTAGTGAAATAAATATTTAATTACCTGAGAACTGGTCCTAATAGTAATAAATGCACTAAAATCCTAACCATCCAACCCATGACACCTATTCGGGGCCGACGTATTGATTCCAGTTTTTCTTTGCGGTGATCGTGTATTAGCCTAAAGGGTAAGAAATACAATAAAAAATATATTTTAGAAATAAACTTTCAATTAAGTGTAGAATGTTATGGGAAAACGACTTTAATAATAATATAAACATTTTATTGAATCAAATTGAAATGTAACAATAGTTTAAACAAAAACATGATTACCATTTGATACTAAATATATTGACAGTAATGGATGGTATGATTGTTATGGCGAATGTGAGCCCCAAAGAGAAACTGTCGTTAATTCCGTATAAGAAATAACAAACAGTCAGATCTGTTCCGATGTCTATCACGTAACTCATGAGTGAAATGATTGTAAAGATTGCGCTTAAAATTCCGAAGACATCGCTTTTATCCAATTCCTTAGTGTTGGCGCAATAGATAGGGTTGTGGTGAGGGTTCACCGGCTGGTAATCAACGGCCCGACCCGTGTGACCCCTGCCCGCCGTTGCATAGCACCGGGAGTCGGGTAGTATTGTCTCAATACAACCGGCATTACCGCGACCAACACTACTACCACTACTACAGCCGCTGCCACTAACTGTGCAATAATCGGTTGAATACCCGAAATGACTGAAAACATTAAATAACATTAAATAACATTTAATTAAAAATAAGATAAGTTTTGTTGGCAATAATTAGTGATTATCGCACAAAACAAAACTCTTTGATTGCTTTTGGATCGATAGGAAAGGAGTGGTGTGTGACAGTGGGAGTTTCATACATGTGTTGTAATGTAATTAAAGGGATCATACCTTAAATGGTGGGGATCGATAGTCTCATATGTGGGTCCAGTCATACGTTCCTCAATACACTCGCGTATGAGGTCAGCGTGTTGTCCATGTAATGGTCGGAATGTCGACAATCGATGCGATCGTCCGAGTGGTCCACCAGTGGATCCATTATTATTAATTTTTCTGCCCAGACTTCCCATGTGGTGGTGCAGTGTTTGTGGCGATGGGAGTGCTCCTCCGAAGTGGTGTTGCTGCAGATGCATTGGCACATGTGAATCATCGCGTGTCACCAAATTAGTCGGTTCTTGGAGTTCCACCAATTCGTTGAGAACAACCATTGATTTTTCCGGCGCTGTATGGCATGAAAGCACAGCAAATCAATATTCAGACAAATGTTTCAAATAGTTTTCCTTTTGACTAAATTTGCTCCACATACACATACTTTATTTAAATATATATTTCCAAAATTGCTGCAAATTTAATTAAAGTGCAAATTATTTAAATTTTAAACCGGTTTTTGCTTTTAGTTTTGTTGACAAGCCATGGATATTGATATCATTTACCTAATGATCTCTATTTGTTTCGCTTCTAATTCCCTGTCATTATTATCAAAGGTTAAGAATATTCTTGACTTATATCACGAATAATCCAAACATTTATTAAATTGAATCCCAAAAAGAAATTGTCAGATGAAAGCGAATTTGACGCAAAGACTAAAACATTTCTCATCATTGATTTTGATGTCAAGTATGCCCTGGAGTTGAGGTCTACTTTCCATCGGAGTGTACACCAAAATATCTGCTAAAACCACACATGAGATCGAATTTATTTTAAATTAGTTTCTGATATCATTAGAGCCCCGAGTATTGCACAATACATGTGATGAAAACTATAGATATTGTGCCGTGTATTCACTCAAAATGATCATTTGCTTACTCTATGTTATCTCTTTTTAAACGTGTTTTATTAGTACTGTCTATGTGTTCAAAACAACATTATTATAATTGACTCCACACTACTTTGTACTGATGCCGTTAATGTAATTTTAAAAAGTATTATATTAATTTATATCATTAAAACAATCTTAGTTTTACTACTATAATAGCTATGATTTCAAACAATGGGAGGACTTTATCTATAAGCAAAGTATTAAACAAAAGACTAAACCCCGATATAAATCGTCCTATAATTTGTTATGAATGATAAGCAAAACACTAAAATGAATGCACAAACTATTAGTCGCCAAATGTATGGCAAATCTGAATGAAAGTCTCTTATTTAGTAAAAGCTTTCTATAGTATTAGCTCTACTTTTTTCGGCCGCAAAATACATCACTCCTAAGGTTTCTTACTTTTTTGCATTGAAAACAGAATTTCAAATAAAACATCCATTAAAAAGATTGCTACAAATATTCCTACAAAAAGTGAATTATTTTAATAAATTTTGAGTGAAAAGTGGAAAAAGAATTTCTATTAAATTGAATCGTTTGGTAGTTTTTCACTCAAACATTTCGTACACTTTTTTAAAATAAAACCAAAGCATCTGAGATTTATGTATAAACTTGACATTTGCTTGTTGTTTTTTCGTAAAATAAATAATTGCCAAATGATTGAAATTTAATAAATGAATTGAATTACTGTTAGCATTGAGTGGTGTTCGTAAGCGCCAGGAGGGCTGGTATTCGAGTTGAGTTGTGGCCACTTTGGAGTTGGGGATCAGCTCTTTCCAACGGTCCAGCGTTTGTACTAGGTCAATTCAAATCTGTTAATGTCAGTGCCAAATGAATGATTAATATTAATGATTCAAATTGAATGACAATAGATACAAATATACTGTATATTAGGTTAATTTCATGAAGACATGCCATAAATATTGAATGCATGCAAAGTATAAGTCGATTATAATCTTATATATGAATCGAGTTTTGAAAGACTTGAATAATAAACGCCAAAATCGATAATATCTCAGAGGAATGGCTACAACTGGTATTAGATGTCAATAATGATGACTCGTGTGATCTTTCATTTACGAGATGATTATTTATCAAATGAATACAAATGAAAAGTAAGGCAAAGGATGGCAAAGGATGTGTTTGTGGGCGCAGACGTTGTGCTCTATGTCTGTGTGTCTTAGATGTAGTGAACAATCAATCTATGAATTGATAGTTCATATGAATAACAAATTCTATTCAATATTCAACACATTTTCTGAACCCATTGTATTGAATATAAAGTAACAACAAATAAATAAAACTTTGATTTGAGACAACCAATAAAAAGTAAAAACAATTTCTTTGTCAACTCAAAAATTTATTCATATTTTAAGGAAAACAAAGAAATTTGATTACATTTGCTGTTTGTTAGTATGTGTTTCAATCAATTATATGATTACAATAAAAATGACACCAAAAAATGCAAAAAATAGTCATTTGGATCGTAATCGACGTTATGTTGAGATTATTTATATCCAAGTATTCCAATTCATATGATTGCAATCGCTGTCTATTTTATACATTATAGTGAAAGCAATGTTATGGCAAATGTAGTATTAAATTGCATTATATTTATATTATTCTCATAACTCATCGCTTGAAAGACACATTTCTGGCAAATCTTTTGCACTTTTATGGAGAGAGAGAGAAACAAATGTAAGACAAAAAAGTGGAAAAACTCGTGTATTATTTGATTTAGAATTTAGTGTTTTGTTGGAGAATATGATTGAAGTTATTTGAAGCAAACAATTAGATCGTAAGGTTTGGTCACAGGAATTATTAAGTAACGAATGGTTAGCATTGATTGCTTACAGAAAATCAAATCACATTTAATTCAATTTTGGTCTTAACTTCTTCTCAAAGTTATTACGAATTGAATCAAAACGCAAACATTTGGTTCAAGAGTTAAGATGTGTTTAAGACATTAACGAAGAAATATATTTAATTCAATGAATTAACGAAAATGTATTAAATTAATGGAAATTAGAGCAAAAGGAGAGAACATGAATGTGAATACAAATGAAATGAAATGATTAATCAGTAATCCATCACTGGATTCATTTGATATGCAGACAAATCAATCTCATCATTGCTATAGCAGTATATGCGGAGTATATGTAGAAACGAGTCTATTGTTGCCATCATTGCCGTCATCCCTCTCATCCCCTGCGATATCTATCCCCTCAACAAAAGCCACATTTCCATTGAATCGGCGGTTCAGTGCTCACAAGTCAGTGCCGTTTGAATATGTGTTCGCTTTACTAGTATTTCACTTCAGCGCTACTCCTAAGGGATCGCCGCTTCAAAAGTGCAGTTCTCTTGTGTTCCCCGAACTCGTGCTCTCATTGCATGTATTCTCGTACAGAATCACCAACTCTTATGTTGTGTCTCAAAGTGTTAACACTTTCCAGACTATAACACATCTCCACTAAATCCATAAATTTCATACCATTTTTCAAATCACTTTTAACTTTTAATATCGATTTTGCAGTAATTCTTGTCTTTAAAAATCATTAAAATTAACTTCAAATAGAAAAAGGCTTAAACGAATCGATAAATCACTTAATGTCTGATTTTTGTATGAAATAAATTTATATAGAATTTTCCGAAATTAAGTCAATAAAGTTAATTAAAGTCTAAGATAAATGAATCGAGATTTAGAAATTTCGTATACAAAAAATATTTAAAGTAACTTCTAATGAATTTGACATTAATTTTTTGAATGTAATTCATTTAATGCAAGTACAGTATATGCCATTTGAAATTACAGTGCATTAGAGTTTTGGTCATAATTATCGAATATACTGTATTTGTTAAACATTTAGACTTTGAAAACAAAATTTAAATCACGAAACTTACATTAAGATATAATATTTGAGGTTATGATTTGTATAAAAGAGTATACTAGTATAAAATGAATATAAAAATAAATTAAACCACATACTAATACTGTAAATATTCTATAAAACTCATTAATGGTTGTGTCATTTGAATTTTTGTGCCATTTTATATAGTACTTAGAAAAGAAAATAATACTATTAGCTTTAATTCAAATGTATAAAGTTATAAAACAAAATATCTTGCTCTGATTTTATACAAAATCTTTATTTATAATGAAAATTGATATTGAAATAACAAAAAATAATATTATATGCTTTAACAGTAATTTAATTAAATTCCTAAATCAAAACTTTGATCGAGTTTTGTGAGACAGATATTATTAATTGAAATACTTATGAAAAATATATAAGCTAAACTGTATGGCCATATGTTTTACTTAATATATCGATTTATAATAATAAATGATAGAAAGGAATGTATGGTATTAATTGTTGGCAAAACATAGGGCTAACCGAATGGCAAATATTTATATTTCTTAAATTATACGGAAACGTGACTTTACATAAACTAAAGTCTAATATAATATCATAAATGTTTAATTGAGAAAAAAGCAAATAATCAAATTATTCAATTAGGAGGACATGTATTCATATGATTGAATGGGGGAGAAAGGGATGGGAAAGACTTGTTTTGTCTGTAATATCTAAATTAATAAGTTTATGCAAATTTCTAATGAGTTGTTGTTATCTTTCAATTACAGTTTGCGATATAAACACAAAACAAGTTTGTTATGCATTAATGATATTTGCATTTAATTATTAATGACTATAATATACAGACGTCGGAGGATTGCATTAAATCCTAAAAAATAATTACATAAACTTTTTTAATATGTTTAAGTAAAGAGAGTTTCTTTAGACAAAAAAGAGACTATTTTTGCAAATCAATAAATAATTTGCAATTTATTTAATGTATCCCTTTTGAAATGAAAGTTATATCGATAATAAATTATAAGTTATAAACAATAGTTAATTAACTTTCGTTTATAAAACATGAGGGAATAGTAGGCCAATAATTGTATGAATGTATGACTGCATTGATGTGATAACAATAAAAATAGTTTTTGTTAGTATATAATAGATTTGACGAAAAGGCAATAAACCGTAAATTTATGATCACATCAAACTATATATTATTATTTATAATATTCTGATTTACTTATTACTAAATCTAATGGCACACCAAGTCTTAAAATATTAAAATTTCACTCAAAATTTTTCATGAATAATGTGTCAATTTTTCTAAAATAAGTTTTCATTAAATAGTTTTATAAGCATTTAGTTTGTTGGATGAAAAATGGAGTTATTAGTCTCCAGTTTTTGTCAATATTTCATGTGAATTAATGTTTAGAATATATTGTCTACATTTTGATAGTTTATACTGTATCATACAATTTATAATACAATAACATTAATATCCTTTATGATTCTTGGTCTATTAACCAATTAATACAGTAATTATTCTGAATTAGAAATACTTATATAAGTCAAAATAGATATAAATTGTCTAATTATAATACTTTATAATAGTTTATTTAACTTTGAAGTAAGAATTTTGTTTAATAACAAAATAAATATTGATTTCCTATTTAGTCTATTTTACAATTGTTAATCCATTAATCTATTTTCAAATAAAATTTTCAAATTTTAAATCAGAGTTAGATTTTCTTAAGATTTATGACCGGAATTAAATGAAAGACAAAACAATTTATTAAAAGATAGTAAGGGATAAGTTTAATGAATGTGAACCGAGATGTTGCTTATTTAACTTTTAAATCATTATTTCAATTCTTAAAGTGTTAAAGTCTTAAATTGATTGCAATCACTTTTGATTAAAACAATGGAAACAATTTTTTATTTCAAGATTTTAAAAGAATTTGAAAAATAATTAGACATTTGAATACAGGATTGATAAATAAATTATGTTTTAGTGAATTCCTTGAACTCTTTTTGTGAATAACTTTATTAAAAGGATTCTCAATTCATTTGCAATTCATGTGTAAACTGGAATAATTCAAATATTGTTTTGTTTAAATAAATAAATAAAAACTAAATTTTCATTTATGCGATCGACAGGAATTTGCATTTAGAAAATCACAAATGTTTTAGTGTTTGAAAAATCGGAAGAAATAAAAAGAAAGAGAGAAACGAAAAATAGAGACCAATATATAAATTGTTTGTTTGCATGTGTTTACTCTCATTGAGTCAACTAATTATTGCTGAAATAGTAATCATTTTATGTTTTCTTAAGAGTAATTTTATGGATAACATTTGACAGAAAATTGACATTTAAGTAATTTATTCTTTGTTTGTAAATTTATTTAAATATTTTGCACATAATTTGTTAAAAGTAAAATACTTAAAAACATATGTAAAATAAGAAAGAAAGAAAGTATGAATGAATAAACGGTTAAAAAGTCGACAATTGGCACTAAAATGGGCATAATTTGAGTATATATTATGATTGGGTGTAATGTTTAAATTGTAAACATTAGATCCTAAAACATGAGGCCATAAATCTCTTTAAAGTGTTTATTATTCTTATTGTCTCACAAATAGCCATCTTTTGAAAGAATTTCTAAATTTAAAACATTTCAAAAACTGATGGCTTTCTCAGTGAGAAAAACGGAAGAAATTTGATTGCCTTAAAGATGCAGAAAATGGAAATTCAATTGAATATAAGATATTTGAATGTGATTTTATGGCAAAACATCTCGAATATAGTTAGGGCAAGCAATCGGTCAGTTTTGTTGACTTTATATAGACTTTTTGAGATGATATCCCAAATTGAATCATAACTTATGTCATTGCAATGCAATTCAACGTTATGTTTAGTATTGAGTTTTGGCTGAAA